AAAAAAATGGAAACAAAGTCTATGTAAATAGGGAAGGGTGGAGGGGGTGAAGGGCGAACAGGTAATGGGGAAGAAATAAGAACCAAGATACGTCGTGTACAGGTGCAAGCACCCAATGAGAAATGTAAATGAATTGTATACCTAAAGTGTACCAATAAAAGAATCTAAGAAAACAAAAGATCTCCATTTGCTTTTCCCACGCTTCTGGAATCACCGTGAGCGCGCGGCGGGTAGCTCGTCAGTCCAGGGGGCAGGGAAGGCCTCCAGAGGGGAGCTACCAGCTAGGCAGGTGCAGTCGGCCACAGACGCAGGCGGGGAGGCCGAGCCCCAGCCCTGGGTGTGACAGTCAGGGCTTCCCGGGCTCGTCACGCGGGGCTGCTGTGGCCAGAGCTGAGTGGCTCCCACCTCACCCCCAGCACCACCATCGAAGGTCGCTTGTTCTTCCGGATGTGCCAAAGAAAACGCCGGACGGACGCAGTCTGAGCGCGGCAGACTTATGTGCACTGGGAGTGCGGGGAGAGCAGGGAGGGAAGCGGCCACCTAGCCCGGCTGGGAGTGAGGAGCAGCAGCTCCCACCGGGTCGGGCGGCCAGGCCGGCACGGAGGGGAGGAGGCGGAGCGCGGCGGCGACTGACTCCTCACGCGTGCAAAGCTCCGAGTTAAACCCGGCACTGGGGTTCTCCTCGGCGAGGAAGGGCGGAAGTCCAGGGCGCGGGCGCACTGCCGCGCCAGGGTGGAGTCTGTGCAGTGTGTGCGGTCCGCAGCCCAGCGGGCCCGTACCTGACTCCTCTCTCCCGCCGGGATGCGTAAGGTGGATCTGCCCGGCTAAAACCGCTCACGTTGCAGCGCAGCCTCTCTCCGCGGGCCGTCTCACCGCAGCCTGGGGGACTCGTGGTGGCCTGAGGGGCTGCTGGGCCACCACTGGCCCATGCCGCAGTCCTCAGGGACACTCGTGGGCCCTCACCTCCAGGGCAGCCTGCAGGCCGGGTCCTCGACAGAGAGAAGACAGCATGTAACAAATGTAGCCTCTTTGCCTGCTTCCTGGGGTTCTGAGCTTTCTGCTGAATCGACTTAAAATGAAGCTGATTTTAAAATTGCCGCGGCTACATTTTGCTTTCTTCCTCCAGACCCTGCCTTTCTGCCTTGAGCTTTGTTCTGCTCTGCTTAGCGGCTGCAGGGTGCCTGCCTGGCTCGGGTGGGTGCTTTTGAGGGCCCTGCTTGGGGCGGGGACCTCTGCCCTCTTCTGCCTTCTCCAGTCCCGAATCTGCACAGCCCCTGACTTTCTCCAGGGGCCTGACAGCGGCAGAGAGGAGGCTTTATTTCCTCCCCACAGGGCCACCTCCCCTCTTGCAAACGCCGAGCCTCCCTGTGGGGCTGGAGGGGCCCTGGAGGCCGCCAGGAGCGCTGGTCGGTGTGTCAGCTCTGGCTACACCTGGGGCGAGACAGTGGCTGCCCTGAACACAGGCGGGCTGGCTCCGGGCAGCTCTGTCCCTGTTCCAGGAGGCTGTGACCCGCTGCCGGGAGTGCAGGCAGCTGGGGAAGCTGGCCCGGGAGCAGGCCTGGCCCTCGGGGGCTCCTCGCGGGTCTGGGAGGTGAGTGGGACCAGGCTGGGACTGTGATGTGATCCGGACAGCCCCAGAGCCCCCCTCGCCGGCCGACGTTAGAGGAACCTCTGCGTGTGGACGAGGCCCGTGCCAGTCCTCACGCTGTCGTCCTCAGCCCGAGGCACGCTGCTGCTGAGGAGCTGCTCCTCGTGCCATGCTAGATTCTGCCCCGGGGCCGGGGCACCCAAGGGCAGCTGTGAGGCCAGAGAGCACAGGGGCTTTGGCCTCTGCCCTGGTCAGCTTGCTCCTGCCACAGCAGACTGTTTCGTCTCTGGCTCTCTCAGCCCCGCTAGTGTGAGCCCTCTTACTCATTTCTCTGCCCCATGACTTAAAAAATCCTCCTACTTTAAAATCAACAGCAAAAATGTCTTTTTTTTTTTTTTTTTTAAACAATCCCAGCTCTGTGTGTACAATTTGACTCACAACAAAGAAAAGTCAGCCGCTGTGTCAGTAGGGGAGATTCCGTCCCACCTAAAGGACCGGTTTTGCCTTTGCAAAGCTAAGATTTTAAAAATGACCTCTGCCCTCGCAACGTAAGTAACGTAAGGTTAACTTGAGGCACTGACACCCGTGACTTGGCTCATCCTGGAGCGTGTGCACACGCGCGCGCGCACACACACGCACACACACACAGGGAATGGCATGTGCGTGGGGCCAGTAACCTGGTCATCTTTGTCCCTCAGTTAGGGCAGGATGGGTGAAGGGTGAGAGAGACACTCATTTAGGAAAGGAAACCCCAGAGGAGACCCGCTAGGTCTCGGTAAAGCTGGTATTAGAGGAAGGGCAGAGAATGATGAGCCTTTAATCTGCTTAGCTTCCCACTGCTGAACAGCTCAAGTGCTCCCCAGGGTGACAGCCTTGTGAGGCGGTTAAGCCCATGAACTTGGGGTCGTCCCGTCGGGTCTGGGCCTTGCCTGTCACTCACTGGCTGTGTGATCTTGGGCATGTTTTTAAACTTCTGCTTCAGGGGGGTTGATTAGATGGTGGTGGGAAGCACTCACATTCCGCCTGGGACTCTGGTTGCTTTTGCGTTTTCGGTGGTGATTGAAGAATGTGGAAACATCTTGAGGCGGCTGACCCAGAGAATGGGAAGTCTGAGGTTTCTGCTCCGACAGCAGGAAATGCCAAACAGCAGAAGCCAAAAGCAGCATCAGGCTGGTGGGAATCACCGGGGAGCTGGCTGAGGGGCCCTGGAGAGGAATGGCCTCAGGTTAGTGGGCCAGCCGTGGGAGGTGGTGAGCAGCCCACGCCTGCAGGTGTGTGAGCAGAGACTCCGCTCCGAGAAGGGCGAGTTCACGCCTGCTACAGATCCTCTCTCTGCTGAATCTCTGGCTCTTCCACTTGCTAACGTGTGGCTGGGGCCACTGAATCTCTTGGACGCTGGGTTGCTGGGGTGACACACCTCAGCCTCCCTCTTACATTCATGCTCCCTGTCCCCTTTGCTGCCGCTCCCAGCAAACAGCTGCTCACCATGTGTCAGGCTGTACTAATGCTAAACGGCGGAGATGAGGTATGGACATTGTCTTGAAAACACTGTGAGCACACAGTGAGGAGGTGATTATAAAGCCACACCCTCGGTGCCCCGACAGAGCCGGAGCCGGAGCCCGGGAAGAGCAGCTAACCAGAGGGCGTGAGGTGGGGAAGGGACTTGGAGAAGGCTCCAGCCTCCAATGCTGGCAGAGTTGGGTGGCAGGAGGATTTCCCACAGGAACCTCAAACACACCCCAGGGACGTGAAACAGGCTGGTGAGCAGGCAGCGGTGGGGCTAGAGGCGAAGGAGTGAGGGCTGAGGAGTACGGGCGTGAGTCCCGTGAGTCCTGGAGGCCCGTCCCACTGTCCCACCGGGAACACTGCTGGGAACTGAGGGCGTAAGCTCGCCACCCACTGGCAGACTTCGGAGTCGGGGGTCGGGGACCACAGGTGAGCCAGGCCCTTGTGAGGCTGCCGACGGTCCAGGGAGGGATGCCCAGCGAAGCTCAGAGCAAATCCAGAACTGCCCCCACATGGAAAGGGTCATTATCGTTTTGGTCATACTGTAACATTTAGGTTTGGGGGACCCAGTATCAAAACGGGCCTCCTTGTCACTTACCCAAGCGATGACAGTAAAATCCATACATGCGGTCCAGAGAACTACAAATGGTACTTCTGCTTAACAAAAGCCTTTAAAAAGGCAATGAAACTACTGGCTTGAAAAATAATTTTGCAGCTGGTTCTAGGATACAAAAGACTGGATTTGGTGCCATTGGAATGAACAGGGGTGAGAAGGCACAGTATGAGTTTACGAAGGCAATTGGGCAGGTGATACTGCGCATACATCGTCTAATGGGTTTGGCCCCAGAGGGCGCTGGGGATGGCCCAGGTGTCTCATGTGTGCTGAACTGTTTTTGTAGACACCAGCGACATCATCATCTCTATCTCTGTTTTCCCAGAATATTTTGGTATTTGACATTGTGGCCAGGATTGCCCTACCTGGGGGATGCTGGGGAGTGTCTCCATGCAATGTGGTGTCTGCTTCCAGTGCTGTTTATGGCTGAGCTGAAAACAGTCTTCGAAATTAACAATAGATATGCGTAAATCTTCCTCAGTTACCTAGCAACTAATACAAGTCAACCTGTGGAGGCTCACAGGGCTGGGTGGAGGGAAACCTGTTTTAGGAGCACTTGTGAGTGTTTTAATAATACTTGGAGGTTGCTGGAAGGGAAAAAAGAAAATTAACATGACCAATTAAATGTTAGAGTTTGGTTCTGGTTTTTATTTTAATAAATATTGAATCAAGTAACAAAAACCACTCGTAAATCTCCAACATTTATAGTAAGAGTGAGGGTTTCACAAAGACTGGAGCTAAAGACTGGAGTCATAAATGAGCTATGTGACCATGTGAAAAATAAGAGGTGACTTTAGAAGAATCCTACTTTCGCTCTCCGTTCCAGGCTGCATGGGGTGATGGGCACTTGGACCAACCAGGTTTGTGGACTGTGACACCACAGGAATGGGCCTGGAATCAACGTGAATTTTTCAAATGGAAAACATGGGGCATGCTAGTGTGAGAAACATGCATGCACACACATACATGCATCTATATCTATATAATATTCTCTCTGTGTGTACTTCAGCAGTGATCAAAAATACAGTGAATGTTTAAATTTTTAAGAAACTATTACCTTAAAAGACATTGTCAAGGTCAGTGGGATAAGTGAGTTCAAATGGAAGTGGAAGCGGGGGCCTGGTGCTGCACACCTGTAATCCCAGCACTTGGGAGGCACGCTGAGGCAGGAGGACTGCTGCAACTTCCAGGTCAGCTTGAACCGCACAGAGCCCCTGTCTCAAAACAAAACAAAACAAACAAACAAAACAGAAGGGGAGTGTTAGGAGTATTTTGAGGGGTTAACGGCAGGGCAGTGTGCCTTTTACCATAAACATGTTTTTTATTTGAATAGTCACTGTATCTTTTGATCACACAGCATTGATCAAATGTTTACAGCAATTTTTGCTAAGCAAAAAACATTGTCATGCATCCTCCTCTACCATAGTCACCAGATCTGGCTCTGTGTGACTTCTGGGTCGTCCCCAGAATCAAAATGGCCATGAGAGGTAAAGGCATTGCATTGATTCAGGGCAGCAAGGCAGCCATGGCAGTGCACAGAGAGTGAGTTCTCCAGGGCACACTGCAGGAAGGGGACATCCAGAGCTGCTTCAGAAAGCAGCCGAAACGGTGGGGTAGATGTGTCCAAAGTGGGCATTTGTGGCAGTGTCTTAACTGGAATAAAATGTTTACAGCCTAACCAGTCACAGTATTTTTAATCACACCTCGTGGGTATGTGTGTATGTGTGTGTGTGCATGTGTGTATTTATAAAATTAGTCTCCACGCCCGGGTTTGGCTTACAGACTCAGTGGCCCAGGGCTGGGGTGTGCAGGGCTCAGGCTCGAAGGGCACGGGCTCCCAGGACACTTAGTGAGCTGCACCTGGGGCCCAGCCCTGCCAGATCTTGTGTTTTCAAAAAGCTAGAAATCCAGAAGTTGTGTAAGTTTTTCTTTTTAAAAAATATTAACAATTAATTTAATAAAAATTTTAAAAAGCACTGTGTGAGCTAAACAAAGTGAATCTGCCTTAAAGCAAAACTTCCGAATGAATAATTTAGAGAAATGCCATGGTCGATCAAGATTGGCTTTGTCTGGTAGACAGACTGGAGACTTAAGCTGAGTGGGCTTGCCAGGGCCTCCTGTCCTCCGCTGGCTGCTGGACGTCTGCCCTCGTCAGAGTCCTTCAGTGTGGGTTCTCACAGAAGCCACAGGTCCGGGCCAGAGGGGCATGGCAGGGACCACCAGAGGTGCTACATCCATCCTCATCCTGTGCTGCAGTCTCAAAAACTGCCCGTGGGAGTGACCCCCCGGGGAGTGTTGGGAGCTATGCCGGCTGCCAGGGCGGCCTCAGTGACCCACACAGCGGGAATTTCTGTTTTCATCTCTCTGAAGGCCGGAAGTCCACAGCAACTTGTGGCACGATGGGCTTCTTCTGAGGCGGTGGTGGCGAACCGATGGTGCTTTTCTTCTAAGACAAAAGATGTTCAAGTACGAGCTGTTTTTCTGAACTAAAACCTCAGGCTGCAGGTTAACTGCGGCTTTGTTGTGATGGCTGAGTGGGTTTGGGGTGGCAGCTCCCCGTCACGGTTCTGAGGCCTCTCGCTGGCTTTTGTACCACCGTCTGCTCCCGGTGTCGTTACACGGGCGCCCTCTGTCTGTGTCTGCGTCCCACCTCCTCTTTTTATAAGGACATCAATCATATTGGGTTAGGGCCACCTTTATCTCATTCACCCCAGTCACTTTTCGAAGATTCTGTTTCCAAAGAGAGTGCTGTCTGCAGATGTTAGGGGTTGGGACTCTACCATCCTCTTCTGGGGGAAAGGGACACAGTGTAGCCCCAACAGAAGCCTCCCAGGTGTCTCTCTCCCACTGCCCCTTAATGTCATCATTATTACAGCAGAGATCAGGAGGCCCGGGAGCTGGAGCCCTGGGCCAGACATCCGCACCTCAGGCCACCCTCAGTCAGTGCCTAAGCCGCAGCTCCCGTAACACGGGAAAGTGTGCTGGCAATGTCACTGTTCTCTGTGGCTGCACTGCCTGTCTTGATTTAGGATAAAACCAACGGAGACAAACAGATTTATCATGTGAACAGTGGAAACAATCTCTACATCCAACAATAGTGTTTAATAGGACAGGACTTTATACAGGCTTTGTGAACTCCTGTGGAAAAATACACGTGATATGAAAAAAATGCTCATGATGGATGAAGTGGGGAAAGGAAGGTACAAAAAGCACACAGTTTGAAAAGTTTATGACATGGACATTTCTATTCATAAGTGTGTGTGTGTGCACGTGTGTGTGCATGTGTTTTTCTGGAAGGGATACTACAAAAATCTTTAAAATACTACTCTCTCAGTGATAGCATACACATACTTTAAACTTTTTCTTCTGTTTTTGTAAATGTTCTGTTTTCTAAAATGCACATTACTTTTATAATCAGAAGAGAACATTAAAATGGAAATCATGATACACACTTAGCTTATAGAAAGTTCCCGCTAGCTTAGCACTTTTAGCAAGGAGCTCTTTTATAGCTTTTCACATAGAGCTGCAATTATGAAAGTTTAATTTAGTCACCATTTTCCAGATACAGTTCTTAGCGTTTGCTACCTGGATTCTAGAATAATTTCTGCAGCAGACCTGAGAACCTCTTCTCTTTCTTTTTGCTTTCCATCTAGCTCCCTTTTCCCCTTTAAAGAGTCTGGAGATGGAATTTGGAGAAAGAGTGGCATCCCACAGACCGGGATAAAGAGCACTAAAAATAAATAAATGAACTAGTTTAATGTGTCCAAAATACCATCCAAGGAGACCCCAAAAAAATGCAGGATGTTGCTTTTTGGTGACTTTGTTCTTTCTCTTTATTCATTTGAGTGACCCTTTTGGCACACTTGCTTTTCATAGAAGATGCTTTGATTGTAGATAACTCTACACTGCACCCTGTTACAAAGCAGAGGTTCTGAGGAATAACGCGTCAAGCTTGGAAGAGGCGTCAGAGGTCACCTTGCCCAGCACTGGTTCACAAACCGCCAAGTCCCTGGAGAGCTCCTGTGAATGCCAGGAGCCGCCCTTCGCAGAAAAAGAAGGGGCTGGGGCTTGGAGCGTGAACCGTGGACCCTGCACAGCAGCTGGGGAAGAAGCTTTTCCGCACAGCTCCTGCGTTCCCTCCCGAACACCAAGACCCGGACACCTGGAGACGTGCCTGCCTCTCGGGCTGGCCAGTTCCAGGCATAACAGCTGTGCCTATCATGACTCTCTTTCTGCCTGTAGATTGGATTCCTTCAACCAGTTCTAAGGTTAAAAATGAGTCACCTTGCTAATGTAACCCAAATGAAGCCCACAGGCCCCATGAAGTCCAGTCTCTGTGTGGAGTCTCATCTTCTAAAGCAAAATAATCAGTGGAAACTTGACCGGCAGCTCCAAGAATGATGTAAGGGGTCCAATTCTAACCCTAGCAGCACTCCCAAAGTCTCTTTCCACTTCCTTCTCAATTCTCTTGTGACTATCAACCACACCAGTGCCCCTCGATTGCTGACCACTCCAAATCTCTGCAGGAACAGCCCATAGGCCATTTTGGGCTGCCTCTCCTCCACGTCACTCTCTCCAAGCAACGTAGCATTTACACTGACTTTTCCCTCTCTGCCTGCTCCTTATTTCTCTCTGCCTTGCCTACTACCAAGACTGTCTGCAGCAAAGGAGAGACCCCAAAACATCTAACAAATAAAAATCTTACCCTTTCTTTTACTTCTCCTGGGTCTGTTTCTCTATACCCAAAATCTTGCTTTTGTGGGGATTTTTTAAAGCCAGAAAGGGAGGAAAGGAGAAGTGGATGTCAAAGAGAATTTTCCTTTATTGAAAAGGATGGGAAGGATAAAATCAAGCTCCACTACATGTTAATAAGCCCTGTGCTCATCCTAGTGATGGCTCCCCCATCTGCCCAGCCGAACTTCAGACCCCACAATTGGTGGGGCTCCTTCTTGGTTCACCCCAGCACACAGGCACTCACAGGCAAGTCTGTCGGCTGCCAGCTGCTGTCTGTAGGCTTCACTCCCATCTCTGCTCCAGCCGCACCCCCCTGCCCCCGGCTGTGTCTGTGGCCGGGTGGCTCACAGTGCCCTTGTGTGCGGAGCAGCTTGTGGTTGAGCACTGCACTTGGAACCTTAATCTGTGCCTGAGCTACATGTGGCTTTGGCTCAGCTGACCCTCTGCCTGCTGTGTGAGCCACTCACCTCTCTGCTTCTTAGCTTCTGCATCTGTAAGAGGGCAAGGAGAAATCTAATCAAAGGGTTGAGGGAATTCAGTTTAATTAACTCAAAGAAGGTGCCTAATGTAGTGAGAGGTTAACTCTACACATACACCAATATCTCTGCTTTTAGGGACCATTCTGCTTTTGGTTTTGGAGAGAAGGGTCATTTTGCTAAGGAAGGAAGAGTAGGTGGCTTAGAGGAGGAGTCAGTAAATTACACCTATGGGCCCAATTCATTTGTCTCTGTAAGTTCATGGACTCACAGTCATGATTACTCATCTGTGGTCTGAAGCCTTTGCTGGCAAAATCAGGGGTGAAACACATCTACCACTCCTCTCTGACCTGTCAGTCTGTCTTCTTTCTTGCCTGTAAGCTCAGTTCATTCAACCCAGTGGAGGACTCTGAAGTTTAGACCAAGGAGCCTAACAGAACGTTCAGGAATAACACAACAACTTGCATTGTCTCCACGTAGTATCATCTAGTTACACGTGGCTGTGGAACCCTGGAAATAGGGATAATGCAGCTGAAGAGTGAATTTTTACTTTTAATTCATTTAAATATAAAGTCACATCTGACTGATGGCCACCCTGTCCTGGAAGGCGGCAGATGCAAGCATTAGGGAACCATGGGCTGGAGTGTCCGGGTGGAGCAGGACACCTCCTCCTCCTCACCCTCCCACCCCTCCTGCATGCCCGGCCAAGATAAAACAGCTCTGTCCATAGGCCTGAGACTGGGTGTTGGCTAGACTGGGTCAGCTGCCCAAATCCTGGCAGCCAATTTTATAGAGAATCAACAATTCAGTCTGTTCATGCATTTTACGAGCCCAAGGGAGACCAAGAGCCCCAGCTTAGACCTGGCGTCAGCCCCATCCAGGGCACTGATTATTTTGCCGACAGATGAGAGGGGCACCTGATGGTGCAGGGCATGCGGCATGCTGACCCCAGCTGCGAGCTACGTCAGAAGATTCAGCTCCACTTAAAATCGAGGCCCCCCTGT